AACAAATGTTATCGATTGAGGAATAAATATGTTTTAATTCAGTTTAAAGCGCTATAGCGTTGAATATAGGCTTAGTTTGAGATAACAATAAGAGTCTGAAAACAAGCCCTGGAGTTGAAAATCTACTCTTCGAGAGAGAAAAGAGATGTTTGAGTCAAAAAGTTTTAAAATTGTCTGATTTGGTGAGACTTGAGCCTGTTTTTCAAGGATTACAAACGCGTATTGGTTGACAATTTAAGGTCCCTATCATTTGGTTCTCATTTCTAGTTGCCATGGCTTATGATTGCATAATGTCTTTGGTGTGTGTTTGGTATAGACAAGTGTAGACCAGTGCCAGAGTCTTCAGTATTGTTCAAACAGTTTGAACGCAAACATTCCCTTCACTTCACTTCACTTCTCATTTACATTTCGCAATCCATTATTCATTAACCAATTTTCAAAACTACTTAATTCATCGATTCATTACTGCTTCTAAAACAATGGTTTGTAAAATTTCACAACAATTGATTGATTTGTTTGCAAATAATTGATTTTTAATTAAATATATTTACGTGTTTAGTCTGAAGACACGGTTTCATTGAATGGATTGATTCAAAAGTTTTATTTATTACAAGAGGAAAGAGCGCACACTTACAGACTCTTCGAAGAGTAAGTTTTTAAATTAATATTTTGTAATATATATTGAAATTTGTGTTAATTTAAACATTTAATTTCAAAATAAATTATCCTATATTTAATTAAAAAAGGACACAAAAGTTATATAAATATTTTTTATGCTTACTTTAAGGGGTCATAAGATATACATCGCGTCGGCACCCAATTATAATTTCCTGAAATTCCGACAATTGGTGAATGAAGTGACCCAAGAATTCAAGCGAATATCGGTGGCCATCATATCGATTGAGAAACAGTTGCGTTTCAATGGATTCGCCAAAATTGCAGACATTGTGACCAAATTGCAGGAATCGGAGAAAAACAAACTCGAGTTAAGCGCTAAACTTCAGATCGCGAAACAACAGGCCATCGATGGCGCAGATTTGGCCGACAACTGGAATCAAGTGGTTGTCATCAAACAAAAGTCAGTTTTATTATTATCACTAAAACTTATTAAAAACTTTACTAAACTATGAACTATTGAATAGAGTGAGAGATGTTATCGATTCGGTTAACGAACAGATCCTAGAGTTGCGACAAGAAGTGCAAGACGTGGACAATAAATACGAATGACATATCAGACACAAACCGCTAGACATTAACTAATTAGGAATTATCCCTTTTTTATTATCAAAAACAATGAATCTGACATTTATTTCAATTAAAAATTAATTTTTATACTTTCTT